AAAAACCCTCGAAAAATCCAGAAAAAAAATCCCAAAAAATCTCTAAAAAAATCCTTTAAAAAATCCCGAAAAAATCCTAAAAATTCCCCGAAAATCCCGAAAAAAATCCCCAAAAAATCCCTAAAAAATTCCAAAAAACCCCCTAAAAAATTCTAAAAAAATTCGAAAAAAATCCCGAAAAAATCCCAAAAATTCCTCAAAAAATCCAAAAAAATCCTCAAAAAAAATCCCGGAAAAATCCCTGAGAAAATCCTGGAAAAATCCCAAAAAAACCTCAAAAAGTCCTCAAGAAAACCTTGTAAAAATCTCAAAAATTCTCCAAAAAATTCGTAAAAAATCCCTAAAAATCTTCAAAAAGTCCTCAAGAAAATTCCGGAAAAATCCCAAAAATTCCTCAAAAAAATCCCTAAAATTTTGCAAAAAATTCCCCAAAAAATTAAAAAAAAAATTCCTAAAAATTCCTCAAAAAATCCTTTAAAAAATCCCGAAAAAATCCTAAAAATTCCCCCCCAAAAATCCCCCCAAAATCCCAAAAAACCTCGAAAAAATCCCGAAAAAATCCTAAAAATATCTCAAAAAAAATCCCAGAAAAATCCCAGAAAATCCCCGTAAAATCTCCCAAAAATCCAAAAAAATCCTCGGAAAATCCAGAAAAAATCCGAAAAAATCTCTAAAAATTCCCCAAAAATCCCGAAAAAAATCCCCAAAAAATCCCTAAAAAATTCCAAAAAAACCCCTAAAAGATACTAAAAAAATCCCTAAAAAATCCCAGAAAATCCCCAAAAAATCCCCCCGAAATCCTCGAAAAAGCCAGAAAAAATCCCAAAAAATCCTTTAAAAAATCCTCAAAAAATCCCGAAAAAATCCTAAAAGTTCCCCAAAAATCCCCCCAAAAAATCCCCAAAAAATCCCAAAAATTCCGAAAAAAATTCTGAAAAAAATCCCAAAAATTCCTCAAACAATCCCCAAAAAATTCCAAAAAAATCCCTTAAAAAATCCTAAAAAAATCCCAAATATTCCTCAAAAAATTCCCAAAAAAATCTCAAAAAATCCCCCAAAATTCCCATTTCCTCCCCTCATTTTTCCCCATTTTTTCCCCTCATTTTTAACCCTTTCAGGTGCGCGGCGTCCGCATCATCTCGGACCGCAATTCCCGCAGCTCCAAGGGCACCAAAAATCCACAAAAAATCCCCCAAAAAATCCCGGAAAAATCCCCAAAGAAACCCCAAAAATTCGTCAAAAAAATATCGGAAAAGTCTCAAAAATTCTCCAAAAAATTCGTGAAAAAATCCCTAAAAATCGTCAAAAAATCCTCAAGAAAATTCCGGAAAAATCCGAAAAATTCCTCAAAAAAATCCAAAAAAATCCCGAAAAAATCCTAAAAATATCTCAAAAAAATCCCAGAAAAATCCCAGAAAATTCCCGTAAAATCTCCCAAAAATCCGAAAAAATCCAGAAAAAATCCGAAAAAATCTCTAAAAAATCCTTAAAAAAATCCCCAAAAAATCCCTAAAAAATGCAAAAAATTCCTCCAAAAAATCCCAAAAAAATCTAAAAAATTCCTCAAAAAATCAAAAAAAATCCTCAAAGAATCCTCAAAAAATCCCAGAAAAAATCCTCAAAAAAATCCCTAAAAAATCCCAGAAAATCCCCAAAAAATCCCCCAAAACTCCAAAAAAATCCTCGGAAAATCCAGAAAAAATCCAAAAAAATCCTCGAAAAATCCAAAAAAAATCCTGAAAAAATCCTAAAAATTCCCCCCAAAATCCCTAAAAAATTCCAAAAAAATCCCTAAAAAATACTAAAAAAAATCCTTAAAAAATCCCGAAAAAAATCCCAAAAATTCCTCAAAAAATTCCCAAAAAATTCCCAAAAAATTCCCAAAAAATCCCCAAAAAATCCCCAAAAAATCCCCTTTCCTCCCCTCATTTTTCCCCATTTTTTCCCCTCGTTTTTAACCCTTTCAGGTGCGCGACGTCCGCATCATCTCGGACCGCAATTCCCGCCGCTCCAAGGGCACCAAAAATCCACAAAAAATCCCCCCAAAAATCCCGGAAAAATCCCCAAAACATCCTCAAAAAATCCCGAAAAATCCAGAAAAAATCCCGGAAAAACCCGAAAAAGTCCTCAAAAAATATCGGAAAAATTTCGAAAAATTCTCCAAAAAATTCGTAAAAAAATCCCTAAAAATCGTCAAAAAATCCTCAAGAAAATTCCGGAAAAATCCGAAAAATTCCTCAAAAAAATAAAAAAAAATCCAAAAAAACCTCGAAAGAATCCCGAAAAAATCCTAAAAATTTCTCAAAAATATCCCGGAAAATCCCCAAAAAATCCTTCAAAAATCCAGAAAAAATCCTAAAAAATCCTTAAAAAAATCCCTAAAAAATCCAAAAAAATCCTCTAAGAGTTCTCAAAGAATCCTCAAAAAATCCCCCAAAAATCCTCAAAAGAATCCTAAAAAATCCCAAAAAAATCCTCAAAAAATCCCCAAAAAATCCCAAAAAATTCATCAAAAATTGGAAAAAAATCCCAGAAATTACTCAAAAAATCCCCAAAAAATCCCTAAAAAATTCTAAAAAAATCCCGAAAAAATCCCAAAAATTCCTCAAAAAAGTCCCAAAAAAATCTCAAAAAATCCTCAAAAAATCCCCTTTCCTCCCCTCATTTTTCCCCATTTTTTCCCCTCATTTTTAACCCTTTCAGGTGCGCGACGTCCGCATCATCTCGGACCGCAATTCCCGCCGCTCCAAGGGCATCGCCTACGTGGAATTCTGCGAGATCCAATCGGTGCCCTTGGCCATCGGCCTCACCGGGCAGCGCCTGCTGGGCGTGCCCATCATCGTGCAGGCCTCGCAGGTACCGCGGGGCATCATGGGAAATTCCCGG